CATTTCACAGCTGATTAGTTACGACAATCGTTAAGTGTTTTGGAAACCGGGCGTAAAGCTCTCTTTCGGAGTGGAAATGAGCCGAGCAGTACTGAGAAAAGAAATGGGTGCTTATTATTTGCGCGTCACGTTCAAATAATAGTAAAATCTAATGATCTCTGTATCAAACTAAATTTAAAAGCTTTTAATAACGACCCCCCTAGTCGATTTAAGCAATAATTCTAATTTGGCCATGTAGGTCAAAATTAACATTACGCCATTTTTTTTATTCATTATATTAACAGCTGATTATTGCTCTGGCTTCACTTTATATCTGACTCTGACGTTAAATACTATTATTTGTAAAAAAAAACTAGTATTTAAACAAAAGATCTACTGAAGCGTGGACTCTCGCGTAAAAGTAGATAGTGTACAACACAACTCACAATGTAATTACGGGGGTACCGCGCGAGCCTCTACCCTCGACTCCAGCGAACACCTAAATTTCGCTACTGCGCAGTCGTCGAAAGTTTGGCTAAAAACTGCGTTTACCATTATTATAGTTCTCATGTAACTATAAACTTTCCAATAATTAAACCTTGGTCTGTTGGGTAGCGCACTATGAAAAATGCGCTGTCTGTCGGTGAAAAACAGTCGCGCAATTTTGCAACTGCGTCTTTCTTCGGAACAATATTTGTAGTGAAAACCATAATCTATATAATTCAGGTTTATTTTAAAGCTATATGGATGGCTTAACTTTACACTTATTATCTTTTTGCCTTTGGAGAATGTTTGTTTTGTTTACTAGAAGCAATTCTTACTATAAGCTATCAATAAATACAACATCCTAAAGAAAAATATTAATAAGTAATTCATGATAAACGTTTTAGTTTTTTTTATTTCCATGTTATGAAAACAGAATACATGTTGTTTTGAATAAATATAAATAAAATGTGTTTTTCTTTAATAAAACTTAAGAAATTTTAGTATAAATATCATAATTTCTTGGTGCGTTAGTAGCGCAGATCTACGTTCCGACACAACAGTCTGAACACAGATCTACTTTCTGACACTGACTACACAGGATGTTTCAATTTTCAAGTAAGTTCCTTTCCTACTTCCAATAAAAAACATTCTAAGTAATTTTTTATTGTGCTATTCTCGGCGCCTAAGACGAAACAATAAAATTTGTTGCAAAAAAGATTTTATTAATGACTCCGTGCCAAGATATTGGCTTCGGCGTCGGGGGTCATGGGTTCGATTCCCACATGGGACAACTATTTGTGTGACCCACAGATAGTTGTTTCGCATCTGGGTGTTTGTCCGCGTGAAATTTATGTTTGTAAAACGTCCTTACAACACAGGATCAACTAAAAAAAATCTACATTGTTTTTTCGCATTCCAAGCATAGCTTGGTGCATTTATTCTTATATCCTTTACAGCATACAAACAATTTAAATATCACACTGCAACGGTCTATAAAAGGCACAGCTTCTTGTATCTTGTATTAACTGATGTTTTTGCTTTCAGTCCCGAGACTATTAAAGCTTCATCTGACGCAGAACCGATGGGCTAGCCAGAACCCACAGGTTTGGGCCCTCCGCTGTGGGTAGGGCCACGCATGTGCTCATGCGTGCGTTTAACTATGGTGTGTCATCTAAGGGCCATCGAGGTTGTGGTTCGGACCGAAACCCCGATGGCCGTCGACTGTGCAATTAGCTAATCGGTGGCTGGGGGCGGTGAGAACCGCCCCGGAACGCGGGTGTACCTTGTGTACGCGTTGTGTTGGTCTCGCCGTGCTCGGAGGCGAGGGCGAACTAGTGTGTTTGTTGTTGCACTAACTGTGGGTGTAGTGTTGTCCGGCGGGACCCCCGGCAGTGGGTCCGGAAAAAGGCACAGCGCTAGCCGTGTTCGAGGCCAATCCGTCGTAAGTGGCGTCATCTACAGACCCTTACCGCTAGGTACGTCCCGTCGCAAACGGCGCAGACCACGACACGTCCTCGATTTCCATGAAGATGAGACGACTATTGCCATCGACAGGATAGAGCAATAACGCAAACACACCAGATCACACCGCACTCGCCGGCGAGTAGAAGCGTCGTTGGAGTTTCTTCCGCCACTTCTCCCAGCGCCAACGCTTTCCGGAATGGTAGTCATGTTAGACTTAGAAATTCTTCCAGTCAGATAATAGCTACCGATTGAGCCGAAGTCTAGCCTTCTTCGGCACCCTCGAATCGGAATGCTAAACGGGTATTGAGTGACAGCCCAAGTTGAGATCCCCTCTCGAGGGCCCTTGAGCCTAGTCACTCCATGGAGCGTCCACCAAAGCGCCCTAAGAGTTTGGTGGCTTGGCGCCTGAGTCGGATGATGGCAAGGTTACTTGTCACGCTTGCGGTCGTTTGGGTTGAATTCTGTCGAATTGAGAACCGCCTTATTTTTTGAAGTCGGTTGAAAAGAACTAAGCGGATAGTAAGCCAAACTACGTAGAGTTTAATTGCAGTTCTAAGTAACCGACACGATCGTTATAAATTCGTGTAGAGCTTCCGCACGCTGTAGGGGCCATTACAGATCCTTGAGACTTTACAGATCCTTTACAGAGACTTGAGGTGGCAGGGCGCTCGAGGTGCCTTTTTTTATGTATCCCCTGCCACTTGATCGGGGGAGTGGGAGGGGTATGTGAGAGTCCCAATAAGAACGGGTAACCATTAGCACACGTCACGAGCCCCATATTGAGCGACAGACACCCCCATGCCTGCCGCTTAGGGTCTCACTATCAGGGGGGGAAGGTTGCGCGCTTAGGCCAGCTTCGTGTGCGCCCTAGTCAACGGCGGTGGATATCCAGGGTGGGTGTTGCGTCCCTTTCTCTCTCCGCGGCCTCCTTTCGGGTGATAATGTGCTCGCAGTATGCGAGGAAAGAACCCCGTTCCTCTCGCTATCAACCATAACGCGAAACACGAATGGCAGCGAGAGGTCTTGCCCCACACAGCACACAGCTCTCGGCGCTGCTCCGTCCAGGCTGGGCACTCTTTCAGCGCGTTTTGGGCGGTCCTCGGCACATACGTCACAATGGTTGCATTTCGCGGTGGGCCATCCCTCCTTGCCATGAAAAAGAGATACCTCCCAAAACACCCATATCCCGTGAGGACCTGAGTCGCACGCTCAGGGCGCCTAACCTGAACGTCGGTTATGCGTTTTGGTGAATAAGCTCGCGAGCTTCCGAGGGAGCCTCGCTGGCTCAGGCCATCACGCTATTATTATCATTAACGGTTTGGGAGGCCACCAAGTTCTTAGCGCGCTTTGGTGGACGCTCCATGGAGTGACTAGGCTCTAGGGCCGCCGAGAGGGGATCTCAGCTTAGGCTGTTACTCAATACCCGTTTAGCATTCCGATCTCAATCGGTAGCTATTATCTGACTGGAAGAATTTCTAGGTCCAACATTACTACGACTTCGGAAAGCGTTGGCGTTGGGAGAAGAATTGGCGGAAGAAACTCCAGCGACGCTTCTACCATTAATGGGGGAAAACCATGGTGTGATCTGGTGTATTTGCGTAATTGCTTTATCCTGTCGATATATAGTGTCGGTATATGGCAATAGTCGTCTCATCGTCAGGGAAATCGATGATGTGTCGTGGTCTGCGCCATTTGCGACGGAACGTACCTAGCGGTAAGGGTCTGTAGGTGACGGCACCTATAACTAACGGATTGGCCCCGAAAATGGCTAGCGCTGTTCCTTTTATAGACCGTTGCAGTGTGCTACTACCCCTCTATCGTCCAATAATATATTTTTGTTCATTTTCATTAAAATAGGTAAATTAACACTAAGTGGATAAAATGGACTCTACCTTATCTTTAAATTTTATAGCGATGAAGTAATTTCAAATCAATTAAAAAAAATTTAATGTTCAACCAGAGAACAAAAATAATACTTTTATGAACATCCTATATTTCCGAGCCTTTATACGTTACATCTGACACGAACGAAATTTCTGTTAGATGGAAAGGTTTTTTCAAATTTACATTTTATTTATAATATCTGTATAGAATCAAAATGATGTGTGTGAAGATAATTAGAATGTGTAATTCAAACTACGAAATATCAGTAGTCGAAAATGAAACAGAGATGACGAACGGATACATACATTTTATGTTCTTCGTTTATCGTTAAATTCTTAGTAATATTGCATTTTTCGACACGTTATCATTGTTTTATGTACTAAATAGTAATAAAAGAAAAAATACTTACCGTTTTCGATATTTGTTTCACAAAAAACAGTAATTCAAATATATAAATGAAAATATGGAGATATTCGAAATAGTTGTGAAAGAATAAATAGTTTTTTACCAGTAATAATTCTTTTAGCTATCAAAGTACGGTTCATTCGTTCCTTCGCTAATTTCTCGATCGAGTTTCACGGGAAAATTAACTCGTATCTAGTCAGCAAATAGCTCACTATTAATCATAAACGATCTGGCGTAGATCTACGTTCCGACAGTCAACGGAAGCACAATTTCGCGCGCAGATCTACGTTCCGACGAACCAAAGGTTAAGCCCGCAACTGCGTTCAATTCATTGTTATATAAACTTTTTTTTAATAGAGAAGGTAAATTTCGGGTAACTTTAAGGCATTCAAATCACAATTAAATAAAAGACACTGTAATTAATTGTAAAAGGTACTTTTATATTATTATAAATTCAAGTATTTATAAAGACAGTCACATAAGTGTACTTACAGTGTACATGATAATACCATCAAAACAGAACTAAAATAGGTTTGAAGTGAATCAGGATATTGGAAGAAAGTAATGACGTAATTACTTCCCATCTAGTCTTATAAAAGTGCTTTAAAAATGTTTAAATACAACAAGGTATAAATCTCATTGTCATATTAAATTATGCCTATGAATAATGGTAGATCTACATTACATTTTTGTATGTATGGAAATTAAATACCAGCAAACACATCCATGGAATGAAATTCTATGTTGTCCAATAAACTTAACACTAGCGTTTTTGTTCTTCAAGGTCTTGTAGACTTCTTCAGTTTAACGTCTTCTACGTCGGCGTGAGTCACCATTGTAGCCATTCTCTGTAATTTAACAACACATATAGTCAAACCAGTGCTTCTTCACCAGGTCTCTTTGGATAAACAGATATAACTGTATTTCAATAAGCAGTTATTAGGACATAATATTATCAGTTGCACCCTAAATAAGGTTATCTATCCATAGGTTTTTGGACATACGTGATTTTTATGAATGTGAGTTTTGATTGGTTTCAATATAACAAACCTCGTTGTTTTCACCGCCGTTGGCGATTCCTCTGGCGGTTATTATTGTACCCCATGGAGCCATTCACCTCCGCGTCGTTGGAACCATTCTGGTTCATACCTAGAGCAAATGGCCGCCCAGGTCCCATGCTTTGTTGATCGTAGAAATCCATTCCGTTGTTATAATGACTGTCGTTCCTGTACGACTCATTAATATTATCATCATAGTTCCTTTTATTATTCTTTGAACCATAGGAGCCAAATGCTGTAAAGTTGGCCCCCTGAGGGCCAAAGTAGTCATCACCAGGTTGTGGAAGCATACGCGGCATTTGGCTCCCATGGGGTACACCAAGACCGCCAGAGGTTAATCCGTAGGAGGCCTGACCCAGGCCGCCGTCTAGGCCGCCGGATCCATAAGACCCGAGACCACCACCCGGACCTTCCGAGTCGTAGTCGTTGTCTCGTCCTCTTCCACGACGACGTCTGTCTCGACCTCCCCTCGATCTTGATTGGCCCTCGTCAGACCCTAGGCCTCCGCCAGAGCCGAGGCCACCGCCGTAGCCACGATCGTCGTTAGAGGCAAAGCCACGGCTGCTAGAGCCGAGGCCTCCACCAGAGCCTAGGCCCCCTTCAGAGCCCAGGCCACTGCTTGAGCCCAGGCCTCCAGAGCTCACGCCATAAGAGCCTGAACCGCCAAGGCCACCAGAACGGCCGCCTCGCTTCCTGGAATCTGACTCCAAGCCGCTTTCTCCATAGCCACTTTGCTCTTGGTTATAGGAATTTATGTTGCTAGTGGAATTGGAGGGAGGTGGGGGAGGTGGCGGTGGTGGAGGTGCCGCCCAACCGGCCGGATTAAGCATTTGACCAGGAGGGAAAGGTGGCATCATCATACCATATTGATCGGGTGGAAAAAATTGTGGCATAACAAATCCTTGACCATTAATTGGTGGAGGCATACACATTTGGGGGTTGAGAGCCATCAAGGGCGGAATTTGATTAGGTTGTTGTTGTTGTTGCTGCTGTTGTTGTTGTTGTGGTTGGTGTTGTGGTTGCTGTTGATGGGGCTGTCGTTGATGTTGTTGGATATCATTTCCCATGTTGTCATTTGCAGGCCTTTCATTTCTTCTCATGCTGGGATCCTCATTTTGTGAAGAGGTAATTGGGACTTTATCATTTTGTGATGTAGGAAGCTGTGGACCGATTGGAGTTGGCAAAAGTGGCTTTGGTGTAGGCAGCAGAGCTTGAGCCACGGGCTTTGGGGCAGTTGTAGTAGCATCCTTCAATGGACTGCACTTGCCTGAACGTGAACGGCTACGGGAACGGGAGCGCGAACGAGATCGCGAATGGCTCCTGGATGATCTTGATGATCTGCTTCGAGATGATCTGGACGAGCTATGTCGGCGACGTCGACGGTCCCGCGACCTTGATCTAGTTCGAGAGCGGCGACGACGTGATCGGGACCTTGAACGAGATCTGCGCCCTCTGCGATATCTGCCGCCTCGGCCTCGGTGACCTGTGAAATGTAGTGTTCAGTTTTTAATAATTTGGCAATAAAAATGAAATATAAAACAATTTATAATTCCTCAACATACGTCGGCCACCCCCACCGCCACGCTCAGCGAGTTCTTGTAATTTCGGATTAACAACTTGTTTAGCTTCTTTCAATACTGAGATAAGATCAGATGCTTTAGCTGCATTAGATGGTGTAAAAAAGGTATAAGCTGTTCCAGTTTTATTTGTTCGTCCTGTTCTTCCAATGCGGTGTACATAATCTTCAGAGTTGCTGGGATAGTCAAAATTTATGACGAACTTAACATCGTCAACATCTGAAAACAAAATCATTGTGTAAATTATACAATTACACAACACATAGAACACATACAAAACATAAGTAGGTACTTCTTAAAATACTTACCCAAACCTCTGGCTGCTACATCAGTTGCTACTAAAATGGGTGCTTTTCCACTTCGAAAATCTGTAATTTAAATATTCATATTATAAACTGTCATAAATTTTAATTTTAACATTATCTTAAGACAACTGAAAACAAATGATAATTAGATATTCAAACAATAAATGAGTTTTTACTAGCAAGCCCCTTTTTATGTTTTACTGGCTAGCCCCTTGTTATATATACTTTACATAAAAAACTGGTGAATAAATGTTAACCAATGGTGCTTCATTAGTAATAATGATAATATGTATTATCCTTAAAATATAATAGTTATATTTTGTTTAAAGCATCAACATGTTTGCTTTGTAGGACAACTGAATTGAAGATTACATTTAAAGATAGTCATTTTATTTATTAGTGTTATTGTCCAGGCCAACTTACTAATAAGCACAGATCCATTTGGATAGAAACGGCGCTTATTGCTCATGACAAAAGAAACAAGTGAGAGCTAGAGGCCGACCAGGGCGGCGCGAGAGGAGAGAACAGAGGCGCCAGGCCAGGCGCGCGGACGAGCCTGGGGCGCTCGGCCTGCGCACCGTCGCCGTCGACGGCGCACAGCAAACGGCGAGGGGGCGAACCCCACCGCGCCGAACACGCGAGAAGCGGCTCAGACTAGCCGCGGTGGCAAGTCAGAGGGCATAGGGCTTAGCCCCGTCAACTAGAGGCGGGTGCGGAGCGGATGCGGCCGCAGGCGCGGCTCGCCGCCGCCGATGCCTAGCGGCGACGTTCGCACGCTTGCCGCCGCCTCCGCCGCCCAGCTGCAGTCTCCACGGCCTGCACATGCAGACACATGTTCAGCAACTGTTTACGTGCTATGTAATCCCTCCACACTTAGGCCCTCAAAATCAGTCCAGTCCGATACCGCTTCTCGATTGTCATACACCATTTCAAGCTCTCAGATTTATATTTAGTGAAAATAAAACATACTTAATTATATAAATTAATAAATAAGATATTCAGCATTTATATAAAAATAAAAAATATATACATATAACAAAATTCTAATAGTGACTATTGCTTTTAGTAACCTCTTACCTTGCAATACCCAATCTCGTTCATTCTGTGATTTGTCACCATGTATACAAACAGCAGGCCATCTGTAATTAATGTAAATTATAATAGAACCAGTATTGAAGAAACAATTTTTGTCGCTATATTAGACAACAGCATTGATATCCTAGGCTTGTGCATAATATCATAATCAATGTTTGTTTTGTGATGTAGCTTAGCTTCTGCATATTTCTACATATTTTAATATTCAATCTTAAGTGCAGAGATTAGCACTATAAAAATTTAAATGTAGCTTTGATTTTATAGATACATAACTGCCTAATATACACGGAGGCTTTTCTAAGTGTCCATTTTTTCATTAAATTCTAGACATAAATAATGTTATACAAAAAGTGATAAATATTTAAAATCACTCATAATTAATTAAATACATTCATTTGAACTCATCTCAAAGAGTGCGTGATTTATGGACAACTCATTTATTTTACGTGTGATCACTCATAACTAACACACACACAAGTCCGTTTCAAAAGTATATGACACATTTATGTATGACTACTGCATTGTCAACAAGTTCTGTTTTTTTGGGGAATGGAATGGCACTTTTATAAAAGCCCCCCTATATAATAAAAAAAAAATTTACTAGAATATGCACTGCAAGAAATATTACAGATGACCATTGTAGTATTTGCTAGAAAATAATTACAATGTTTTTAAGATATAGCTTACCCATCCCTCTTCATTTTCCTAGTAATATCATCCACCCTTCTCTTTGTTTCTATAAATATTATAGTTTTGTTTTCTTTTTCAGCCATAATTTCTTTCAAAAGTGTACTTAGTTTTGTCTCCTTTTCATATTCCATGCAAACATCAATAATTTGTAATATATTGTGATTAGCAGCTAATGATAAAGACCCAACATTAATTTGTAGGTAATCCTTCAGAAATTCTGAGGCCAAACTTTGCACCTCTCTGGGCCATGTGGCAGACCACATAAGAGTTTGACGATCTGGACGAATTTGTTCTATGATTTTTCTTATTTGTGGTTCAAAACCCATATCCAACATTCTATCAGCTTCATCTAAGACCAAATATGTGCATCTCTTCAAATTAGTTCTCCCACTTTCCAAAAAATCTAATAACCGACCCGGTGTAGCAATTACAATTTCAACACCAGCATCTAAATCACGTGCTTGCGGTCCTTTAGGAGCACCACCAAATAAACATGTGTTGTGAATCTTAGATGTATTAGCAAATTTATCACAAACTTCTTGTATTTGTTGTGCCAGTTCTCTTGTTGGTGCCAAAACTAAAGCAATGGGCCCATCACCTCTGCTAGATTTTGGCTGATTATTGATATGAACTATAGCTGGTAATATATAAGAAAGTGTTTTTCCTGATCCTGTTGAAGCTATACCCACCATATCACATCCACTTAGAGCGATGGGCCATCCTTGTGCTTGGATGGGTGTAGGTTTAGAAAATCCCATTTTGTCAATTTCATCCATGACATAGTCTGGGAAACCAGCCTCATCAAAAGATAGCGTTGGTTTGGGAATATTTCTCCCCTTAAGAGTTATTTCATTTTCACTTCTCCAAGATTCAACTTCAGAGTCTGCTCTATTTTCTACTTCTGGATGGGGAACATAAAAGTCTTTTTTGAAAGGTTTCAATCTACTTAAATCCCATTTCGGCTTACGGAGGCTAGCTCCAGGATTACTTCGGCGTCCACCTCCGCCATATCCCCCTCCTCCGCCAGAACCCAAGCCATAACGAGGACTACGACTACGACTCCTACTCCTGCTTCTACTTCGGCTACGACGTCGGTCGCGGCTACGATCTCTAAATAGGGGAAAAAACAGCATAATTTCGCACTTCGTACAATATTTATAAATCACATGTAATAGTGCCGCATCATAATTTAACTTACCTTCCTCTTCCCATTTTAAACGCACAAATAAGTATTCAGTTTATATGATAGTTTCAAATAAAATTACTTTTTGTACACGTACGCGAAAAATGCAGCTATCAAGGTTTTGCGACTCAAATTATAACATTTTACACAATGACCTAGCAAGACACGCCGCACATAAAACAAAATGGCGCCTGCAAATCACCGCGTTAAATCTCTTCAACGGAAAACGTTGCGGAATGCGGAAAAGCATAGTTTAGCTTAGTTACTATAATTATATTTTGAAACGTTCAAAATTATTTTATATTTTATCTTTGAGTCACTAACTATTACTTTTAATTTATTAAAAGTTATTATAAATATTTTTTTATGGTGTGAAATAGATGATTAGGGGAAAATTCAATTTTAAAAATAAACAACTTTGTGATACTAGCGCCCCGGCCCGGCTTCGCACGGCATTAATGTATTATACATATAAACCTTCCTCTTGAATTACTTTAGAGTACTTTTACTTATCTGTATAGAGTACTTTTATATATCTGGTTGTCAGTATGTCCCTATGTATGCTTAGAACTTTAAAACTACGCAATGGATCTTGACGCAGTATTTTTAATTGGATAGCCAGTAAAAAGTACTCTAACCAGATATATATAAGTACAGACAACCAGATATATAAAAGTACTCTTTGCAGACAGCGGGACGACTTTGTAATGATGAGTTTTATACTATATTAATCGCTATATACTATATAGCGATTAATATATACTATATAGCGATTATCCAATCACAATTTTACATTCAAATGCATTTGCATTTTGATATGTACGTAAAACTTATTTAAAATATTTTAATATATTATGCTATTGCAAATACTGTAATATATTTTCGTTTAAATATGATAAAAAAATGAAGAGTTCTTGGAGATTTTGAAAAAAATTATATACTGCTTGTATATTAAAAACAGGGTTTAGTCGCACAAGTTATTATAATTAGATAGCATATATCAACTTTTTATTGAAAAATAATTTCTTCATTATTCATTTTGTTGCTAGACGGAAATTTTAATATAGTAATGCTTATTCAATGTATTATGTATGATCGTTGATTTTTTTTAACAAAAACTTTTTTGCTACAGCATTTGATACTGCTTTTAAAAAATGTACTCACACATTTTTCATTAATTGGAACGTAACGTAGCGGAATCCATTTTCTGCGTTGTTGTGACATTTTGATTTTTGCTATTCTGTTGTGAAAACTTATGAATGTAATGCTATTCAACCTTGAATTGTTTGAAATAAGTGATGATTAAATATTACAGTTTTTCGAAATATTATAAACTATACAACCATCTTCGAAAGGCTATCATATAGTTCATAATGGGTTGAAATAGTGATAGTCAACGGCAATCATTATATGTTGGATTGATAAATTTTAAGTTACATGTGTTAGATGATTAAATACTATAAGCAGAAATCATGGAACTTGATGTTTCGCCTCTGAGTCCGGCAGAAAACAGCATGGATTATTCAGATAACTCTTCCGAAAGTAAATACTTATCTTGTAATAATAACGAGCAATATTCAGTTATTCGAATACCTCAAGATGGTGAGAAATCTAGTAAACATTCCTCCAGGAAGCAATCAAAAAGAAGAAAAAAGAGTTCAAATCATTCTAGACCTCTCCCTAGAATAATAGTTAAGCCATTGCCGCCGCCTCCACCACCAGAAAACCGTGAATGGACTGCAGCAACATCATACACTGATACAGGCTCTAACTCTAACAGACCCTCTACTATGCGCGAAGTTTTGGCAAGCATTCCTGGTTTTTGCATAAAGCCAAGAAAAAGAAGTGGTAAAAAGCTCTCTACAGCAGCACAGTTACAGCAAACAAGAGAAGGCTGCATTGACTTAGAGACACCAGATTCAATATTAGTGAACACTAATATAAGAGCATTGTTGAATAAACACACTTTTTCCCTTTTACCACCTTTATACCAATACAAACTAGGACAACTGCTTCCAAGTGTTGATAGACCAAGTACATCTGGGCGGTTGAGTTCATCCAGCCTCAACAATGAATTTTTTGCTAGAGCTTGTCTTGAATGGCAAGACTGTCTTTCTGGTGGAGAATTCACTCCAGAAAACCAACAAAAAATGAAAACAGAAGCTGAAAAAGAAAAGAGTAAGATTGATCCATGGAAGTTAAAACATTTTGAACCATTTTGGGGTGAAAAATCGCGAAAAGAAAAATCCTCAATTAATCTAACTACAGAAAGACCATCATTAAAAACAACAATTAAGTTAAGACCAACTGCTTCCATAACAAGTAGTAGTACTGTTCCTAAAATTAAAAAAAGTAAATCGTCTAGCACAAGTAAAAAAATGAGGTCTGTAGGCGCAGTGACAAGATCTTCAGCAAAAGTGGAAGATACAGTTGATGAAGGGATTGTAGTTGGTTCAAAATCAACTGTACCTGTTCCTGACTTACTACCTCTTAAACATATGAAAAATCAAAATCAGGGCTATGTTGATTGTCAGTTAGACTTTAGTTTCTCTGACTCCTCTTCTATACCTAGAGTTGAAGATTCAGTGTCTTCAACACCTGTGGACCCTTTATTGCTACCTGATGATTCCAATGAACGCAATGAAATGAAACAAGAATTAGACTTATGTGTGGTCACTATAGAAGAGTCAAATATTTCTAAAGATTATGAAGAAGATAAAGCATGTGAATCAGATAGCAACTACCCAGAACCCACTAAGAGGTTAAGCAGTGATAAACATGAATATAGATTTTCAAAAAGAATTAAGTATGAGGATGATTATACTATGGATGACGCAAGATTTCTTTCTCAAACTGTGAATGGGAATGGTACTACCAACTTTTCAGATGGAGAAACTAACTATACAAATGAACAGCAATGTCCAAGTGGAGATCTGAATATTTTTAGTGGGCCTGAACATGCTGATACTAATAGTGAAGATAGCAAAGCAACAACTTCCATATATGAATATGATGAACAAAGTGTTTCTTCAATATCAAGTTTAAAAATTGAAAATCACATGAATAATGTGTCTCTAGTTAGTGAATCAATTGATAATGGATGCCAAAACATAATAGAGGATGAAGAAAATAATACCATCATAATTCAGGATGTGCATACAGCTCAACATAAAGTTGAACATCAAGAAAATGCAATAGGGTCTTGTCATGATAACGAAAAAGAAGAATTAAATACACAAGTGGAGTCACTATACAGTAAGTCACCTTTGAAGGATGAACCATATCAAAATGTAGAAGTAATTGAAGAATTTGACAGTCACAACATTGAGCCCACAGCCAACAAAAATTTAAAATGCAAACTTGAAGATCAAGGCAAATATGATGAAAAGAATAGACCTAGCGACAATATTACTCCTAACTATTATGATGAACACTTCAAAGATGCAGAATCATTTATATTGGAAACTGGTGGTCTTTCAATATTGGCTCCACGTAAGTCCTCCTCTATAAGTGCCATTTGTCAATGACTTACTGAATTACTATTATTGTGTACATTATTTTTAACCTTATGTGTTTAGACTTAAAACTAGCTCCCAATATCTCTCACACTGAACAGCATTCATATTTTAATTTTTTTTTTGTAATTAATACAATACAGAAATAGAGCAGTCTGCTATGCTCAATATCTTAATATTATAGTTAATCCACTTACAGAATCATAAGATACTCTCCCCAAAAGGTCCTGACAGTATCTTAGGGTATTTGCATTCTTTTGATAACATTTGCATTTTATATAAATAAGAACATATTTTTTCAGAAAATGAAGAAAGTAAATACACTCCTCACCCTAACTTAATGGAACTGACATCATATATGAGTGAATCAAGTAAGACATATTTTTTAAATTGTGTACAAATGTTTTGAAAAGTGTGGGTATTTGAAGATTGTTTATTTATTAGCAGTGACATTTCACATATTACAGCATTGTTATATAGATATACACAAATTTTTGGATTACTTACAGATGTAACAGCTGTTGTAACAATGCCAATGAATCAAAATTCATCAATCCCTATTATGGAAGTAACAAATTCCACCGTAAGTGTGTGTGTGTTTAGGAATAATATAGATTTTTTTAATTTGTGTATTTTTTATACATATTTATTAATAAAAAAATTATAGATGGTGTCATATCCTGATGACAATATGCAAGATCCGGCAAAACCCAAAAACTCAGCTGTATCATGGAAGACTGACAATGATTGGAGTAATAGTGATAATATTATACCATTACATAATTTCTCATGTGTTAACAATGATAATACAAAATATGTCAGCGAAGATTCTAAAGCTAGCATAGAAGATGTTAATATTAATGACGATAATTGTATGTATAAGGAGGACAGAGATGCAAATTTTAATATGGAATCATCAAACTCTTCGGAAAGTTCTCAATCAATGAAAGATTTAAAGCAAGAAATAGAGTCAACCAGTAGTGTTGTTTCTAGTTCAACTGTATGCAACCCTACTAACAACTGTACAACAGTAGCACAAAGTTTAAGAAGTGGAGCTAAGAAATCAAAGCCTGGCAAGGAATCTAATAGGTATGAAAATAAACTTTATATTGGTGATATGTTTTTCCTATTATCAAAGTGTAGCAAAGCTACATAATGAGGATTATATTATAGTCCTGTATGTTTGTCTGTCCATCCATTCACCACTAAGCTCCCTTGTAAATAATAAACAACTTGACTGATATTGGTGTGTGATGTCATTAGATTCATATTTATTTTGTGAGAGTCGACGCCAAAGTATATGTTTAAAAAAATCCTGTTATACACCAGTGTAGGTTTTAAAGTTTTTTATTGTTATTTGTATTAACATAGACTATTAACATTTATATCGCTATTTATTATAATAACCCTGGTTCACAACAAGCCCACATCTGAATAATAAATGTTTTAAGACTTCCATAAAATAGTTTTACTGTGAAAACAGTAATCATTTTGTATAACAAATGTTCTAATTATTTAGGTTAATTTTTCAGAAGCCGTAGCTCTAACAAAGTGCCACCAGGAGCTGTAAACCTCGAGCGTAGCTACCAAATCTGCCAGGCAGTCATCCAAAACAGTCCAAACCGTGACGCATTACGCGGTCAGCTCCGGCCTCCGCCTGCTCTTTTAACGCGACCAAATCGCGCGCCTCGTCCGCCGCCACCAGTACTTGTTCGGCAGTTGCCTGGGCCTGTTGTGCCACAAACTGAGGTATGGCTCTCCTTAATCCATGATATAAAGACCTCAATCTCAAGTTATAAATCAGTGCTTTAAGTATTAATTTGAAAGTGACCAAAATTTGTGCTGCTTTAGTGAACCAAATGAAAAATGAAAGCTCCTTTATGATCCCTCCCCAGCACCTAACATCAACAAAATATTTGGGATTTATATGTGAATAAAATGTAAATTTAATAAACTCTTTAGATGCTTTATATAATTTATGAGGTATTAAGGCCAAGTACAAATACAAAGAGATTTAAGTATACACTTTTTTACATGAACATGATAATTACAACCAATTTCTGGACAGGTCATTAATTTTCAACAACAAGGCAATGTATTTCTTTTCTGCTTATTTATTTTAGGTGAATGAAAATCGCTCTAACAATATGGGTCAGTATATTCTTGTACAAAGAACCCCTAATGTGATGCCCAGAGCATCCAGTGCACCACCAGCAAACCCTAACACAAATGTAGTAAGTTCCTTATTGTGTTACTAAGTTTCAGTTTAAATATGAATGTATAAAAAAAAATTATTATTACTTTTTGTTTTCAGAATGTTACAAGATGTCGCAGTGTGGATGCAGATGATACTTGTGTGTGTAACCTACGAGCAATGATTCTCTGTAAGAAATGTGGAGCTTTCTGTCATGATGATTGTATTGGCTCCGCTGAGTTATGTCTTACTTGTCTCATACGCTGACCCATCCTGTATATGTATAGGTCACGCTCTTGACAGCTTAGCTACAATATTTATCTTTTTTTTCTGCAGACAAACTAAATGTCATCAATGCCATCAGATTAATTCAGTAAGAAGCATATTTATCTGTAAGTTGCGCAAATTGATAAGATGGCTGAATTATGAATAAATAAATTGTGTAGGAATGGTGGTGCTATCTGTTTCTATGTAATTTAATAGTTCTCATACTAACGATTATATGATTTTGAACTCTAAATCATTCTGCTCAAGTCAGTCATACACAGTGATCTGTAAAGATTTCAAAAACATTAACATGAATTGTGAAAGTGTATATAGTAGTCATTACCACTAATTGTGTGTGTGTCAGTCATTTTTATTTAAGGTGTAGCACAACAAACTACTTAATCAGTGTTGTGTCATAAATTCATGCAAAAAGTGCAACAATAGATTATATATTTACACAAAACAATATTATTCTAGACCCTTAACTTGAAAATTTAAATTTTCCAAAAGATTAAAAGTTCTTAAATGAATATCATAATATTTAAACATGTAATAATTATTATGTAATAATGTAGCACAAGTTGCCTATTTTCGTAATCGTTATTATCTGTGTAGCAGCTACTAATTTAGCTATCTATTCTTAAAAATCAGTGTAAAATTTTCATTTAATTTATAAAAGTTAATATTGTTAAGAGTACATAGAAATTGAGTATAATCTGCTGATATCAATTGCCATTATATTTTTAACATCACAATCATTTTAACTTATAAGTAATTATAATCTTCATTAATATATAATCTAATTAGATAGTATATGTTGTTGAGGGTCGGATATTTGTAGTTCGAATTTAACTTGCACTGAATTACCATCAATTCATATGTTTATAGTTTAGGGTGTGTACAGATATTTATTGATATGAAAGGCTGAAAGATAGAACATCGGACAAGTAATAATCTTAAAACTGAGGTTTCATTATGAAATTAAATACATTAGTTATTTGTTATTTAAGTTTCTATTATGGCATGTACACTTATATAAGTTATGCAATATATTTAACTTTCTAATTATATTTTTCTATGGCCATTTATTAAAACTGTATGAATTTTTGTTAAGAAGATAATTACAATTGTCTTTATATCCTCCTATGAAGCATACCCATTATATCTTAAAATTTCTTGATCTTGTAGAATCATCAGGGTGCATGTATTAAATGGTACAATAGTGTACATAGTTAACTGATTATCAAGAATTGGGAATAATGATTAAATAGTTAATAACTGGTTTTTTTACAGTGTCTACACCACATCATAGCTACCCTAACAGATATTACAAATCAATGTAATATTGTAATGTATTTTGTATAAAATTTTGTTGTTAACAAGAATTGATTGTGCTTTAAATTGTAGATCACTAGATTCACTAGATTTCACAAATGTGAAACAATTTTAACAAATCAATTGACAATTGTTTTGTTTTTAATAACAGGTGTTTTTTTTTTATTTTTTGCATTGGAGAATGATTTAGCATGTTTGGTTTGACTTTCTAAACTAAGATTTTGTAGAGTATTATAAACAATTTTTAATATTCTTATGTTGTATAAGTCTAAAAAATTTGAAAAACCCTCAACTATTTTAGTATTTGCGCCAATTCAAAGCTTTATTATACCTACGCATTCAAAATTTTACCCACTCACAATAATATTTAAACAACAACAAGTTTTTAAGTCGAACCATAACATAAAATGTTAAAAAAGTCAACATATAAAGTACGTTTAGTGACCAAAACAAAATTCAAATTTACATTTAGTATACTTAGAATATACAAGCAATGATATTTTGTACTATAGATATGTTGTTATAGTACCCGAAGTGAAGCCACGAATACGCCTCGTTTCGTGGCTTCACTTCGCTCGTCGTAAATTGAGGCGTTTTTGTGATGGGGATCTTTTATTTTTTAGTTCACGGTAGGCAGGGCGGCGAGTAAGACGCGGTTTCAAAATAAATTTTACAATAATAAAAATCCCGTTGTACTTCATAAAATGTACCAAGAGCGAAACTAAAGTGAACAAAATTTAAGGGATCTCATATCATGTACATAATGCATATTATTATTTCAATATATCAGTATACAGCGTGTCGTTACAACCGCGACAATAAATGAACACACGTCTAACGCTACTTGACAATAATCATAAAAAATATAAGCGTTAAAAAATCCATAATTGAAACAAAATATTTTTCGAAGAAATTAATTAAATAAAAAAAAACATAATTTGTAACACATAAACAACTACAACTGACTGATTCATACATTCAGAGACTTTTTCATTCGTTGCCACAACGTCGCATTACAAATTTCTCCTTCTAACAGTATGTTTTATCTCTTTTTAATTCATTCAACCCATTCATATGCTTTGTGACCTTTACAAATGAAATTTACGTTACAGTTTTATACGTAAGGTATTCTAAAATTGTTTGTTTTGGAAAATTTAATAACTGTAAATATTGACTTCTTGATTTTACGCGAATATTATACATATTAAATGAAACTAGTTTACGGATTTTATCGCGTTTTTTATTTTGATTTTTATTTCCCGACGGGAAAATAAAAAACGCGATAAAATCTGTAAACTAGTTTCATTTAACTCTGTAAATATTGATGTTTAAAGAATTTTTATATATTCTCTATTTGTGTGTTTATTTATTGTCGCAGTTGTAACGACACGCCGTATTTAAATTATTTTCCTAATAATTTTATGTTGGTTAGAAAATCAGAAAGACGGATGCATTAGATTTTTTACATTTACGCTATAGCAGTGCTGCCAAGTACTAAAAAAATGACCCTAAAGATAAGATGAAAAAACCCTGAATACAATTTTCAAAAAAACCTAAAAAGGCCTTGTATTATATTCAAAGATCTTGTTTAAATGAGTTTCACGTTTTGTGTACCTTACAAAATATCACAAAGTATTAACAACTTTTACAAATTGTTGAAATATTTAACAAAACAACACAATCAACTAACTAACATTTCATTAATTACATTCATTTTGCATTTTTCTTACTCATTTTGATCAGTGAAAATAGTGATGCATGGAACACTATTCATGGTCCTAATTTTTTTAAACCCTAAAAGAAGCCCAATTAGTATATTTCCATATAGAGGGACTAAGAGCCCTAGGTTGGCAAGACTGCGTTGTAATGACAAACACTTGCCGTCCTCTTTTTTCTTATTTCCTCTTTTATCCTTTTTAAACCTTTTGAACGAAACGTGTGAATGTGTGCTGTCATTCCTATATGAACAGTTACGACAGGTGATTCTGTAAGGGTTTATAACCTCAGAACAATAAAAAAGTACATACCTATGGTATATATTACATTGCAAACAAGACAAAAATCTAGTTTATGCCCTAAATTCACATTCTAAATACGCAATAATTAATATGTATTTTGTAATATTGTACGGTTTTATAATAGACTGTTCATTTCTTTTCGGTTTGTACGTGAGTAAAACGAAAAATATTGGGATATAAAGATTTTGTAATAAGTTTTAATGACATTATAAAATACGTTATTTATTGGTAATTAGTTATTTTTAGCACATGGACCCTTTTCTGTATTAAATTATGTTCTTATATATTCAAATATTCTTTGATTTCTTAGTTCTATTTTATGATAATGATAACTAACGGTGGTAGGGCCACGCAGCAGCCTCGGCTGTAGCACGAATGGGAGGCTCGTCCGGGTAAGTACCACGACGTCACAGAAGACCGGCGTAAAGTGGAAGTATAATACTTTCGCGTTTCGTCTCGTGAGTGAGGTGGCCGGAGCCCAATTTTCAAAAAGTAGTCGACACGTTGATCTGGAACCCTCGGGTATAGCACATGTCCATGGGCGGCGGTATTCACTTAATATCAGTTGAACCGTCTGCTCGTTTGGCAACTTCTCACATAAAAAAACAATATTGACTATTTGGGTCACTCTTGAGTGTATGTATATATATAGGTCTGGGACAATACTCTGGAGGTGCCCGCTCTGAGGCGGCGGAAGCTGAATAGGGCTCTGTTGAGTCGAAATTGAAATCAATGGTTGACTTATTAGTCTCATATCTTTCACAAGTCTATCCGACACTCCTAGTGAATGTAGCTTATAAATTAAGTCCTTCTTATTGTTATATTGTTATTGTCCTTCCAGAGGAATGTGCTCCGTGAGGCGGTGAGCTTGAAGAATGCTCCAGTCAACGTTTTGTTTCAGACAATCGTGTTTTGCTCGTCGGCAATGTTAATCGGATAATCCTTGTTGGGATAATGAGTTCGTAAATTTTCCCCATAACGGAGGAAACACTAATAAGTCGTCGATGTCGAAGTCGATAATAAGACGCTTATTCGGCTTAGGGATGCCGATGACTGGCGCTTATTGTCACGTATCGAGGAAGGTGCCGCTGGCGAGAAGTGCATTAAATATCGTCACTGGAAGGCAAACGACTTGGGCCGGTAGTGTTTTAACTACTCGATTAGAATGACCTAATAGAGTTAATGGGCCTGACTTAATAGGGCCAGGAAAAGAACGGTTTTTAAGGTTCCTAATAATAGACATAACCTCATCGTCCATCGGTGAAGCCGCACATCTACTTTTCACTTCCTTGTACACTACGCCGATAGACGTGGCTCCCATGCGACTGTGTTTCCATCAGCTTGTGGCGAAGGGACTTAGTAGCCGTAGCTTGGTTTCCAATGGTAAATGGCCGGTTCGAGAAGGGTGCTCCAAGAGGGCTGATTGAGCCCGTCGTCCTAAAACGCTTTGCTACAATCCAACAGAATCAGAGGAGTCCTTACCAATTTCATCACGCGATCTTGGTCGTAGAGACTGTCGTTCCTGGCCAGGCTAGTACTAACTTGCCTGAGTGATGTTCAGAGTTTAAATTTCGAGTTACTTCCTAGGAATGTTTCGGTTTCTAAAGAATCTGTAATTCCTTACCGAAACACAACTAGGAATGT